CTACCACTCATGCTCATCAATTGCCCGATAATTTCATACCGTGGGAGACTGGGTACAAGTCCCTTAATTCGCACGACGGTGAGATAAGACTTATATAGAACGAAAGAACGTATTGAGACATACTAACTGTCCGAATTTGCTATATATTTGCTATACGGGGACGTGCCGCTGGCCAGGGTATGGCTTTTGGCCTTGCTGTCTTAAACAGGGTATACATGTACATTTCACCCGAAATTGTCTTAAACAGGCCGTCGACAATTTAGATAAAAGACTGATATATTTTTTTGTGTGTCTTAGACAGGATAATATTTTCATAAGAAATACCGTAGAAATAATAAAAATACCGTTTCACTGTCCCAGGATTAACATGTTATCGAAAATTTCTTATTGTCTTTGATGGATGTCAGTATAATATTGCACTTTTGATGGTTGCGGCGCAGATTGCTATTCCTTATTTTTCCGATTTGTCTTGAACAGAGTATGGATTTTGACTTTCTAGTGTCTTAAACAGGGTCAGGGATATAGACCGCTGGCGGCACGTACCTATCCAAAATTGGGTTGAGTACCCCCTCCCCCTCCCCCCCCCGGGAATTTGGCGTCAATCAGGTTGATATTAAACAATTTACACCCTTTCAAAAACACTAGAATTTCCGAAGAAATGTATAGAATGCCGGATGCTGAGTCCAGATTTTTCTAAATTCCCATACATTTTTTTGTAAAATCTAGAATTTTTGAAAAAGCTGCCAATCATCTACTTGAACCTCGGTCCCGTCTCTCTACACTTCACTCACTAACCTGTATTAGAGGGACGTTAAAGAACCCACACCACTGTTCACATAAGAGTAGGGAATGATTCCCGGTGTGTGTGGCTAGGCCTAATTACTAACCCCTCATGATTGTAAGCCGCGTGGCTGCCAATTGCGCCTTAAACAGCGGTCCGTGTGAAATGATCTATACATGTGAAGCGCCTKTGAACYCAGAGGATATTGGCGCTATATAAATACCACATATTATTATATTATTATTAACCAATTAACATCAAACTTTTTTAATTAGTCTTATTTAACCATTGTACTCAGTCTCCCACGGTATGAAATCAGGCAATTGTCTTWCTTTAATGCAGATGGTATAAAGTAATCATATATAGTAGACTTACTGGACTGATGGCAGGAAGACTTTTGGCAGTGATGTCATAATGCTGGAGTTCAATTTTACCACTACTAACTGTAGTGCAGATTACAGCATCTGTACCAGGCTTGAAATACAATTAATAAGAGTATTAACATTACATTAACTAATTAATTAATTATTAATAAGAATATTAACATTATATTACATTTGTATAGTTTACCTATTATCATCAATTATTATTATTAATAATTATTACAGCAGAAATCGTTGCATCGCGACCTCTTTGTTTTGAAGTTTGTCTGGATTTTGTTCTCTCTTTCAATCTGAGGGGTGGAGCTTTTCGAAAACTCGTTCAACCATTGGCTGATTAGTATCAAGCTCCGCTCCCAAGTTGCAGAAAAACCTAAATCCCAAGTATTTTCTTTGAACATCGAAGTTGCAATGTGACGGTTTCTGCTGTAACTCTGCTGTAACTCGTACCATTTTATTGCCTTCACTATTGAATCCAATAGCTGCCCATTTCAKTTTGCTACTCATTTCAAATTCAATTTGGTCATTCTTTTTGGAGTATGTTACAAGGTAATCACAATTTTTACTGCTATCGCATCCAGATTCAGGCAAAGAAAAGCATCCTTTTGTAGTTCCACATCCTGTTTTGCTAATCTAAAAACAACGACAATCCTGTAAAGCAGATGTTCATGTATGTGGTATTGACACAACTCTTTGAACATAATTATTATTTTTTAATAACTTCTGTATTCACCTGTTTGCAAAAAGTTGACAGAGACAAAATTAATAATAAACGAAAGCTTCATAYACAGTACATGCACAAATTAACACAGCATGCTTCAACATTCAGAAATGAATGGCAAGATCATGCTCAAGACCATTTTTGAAGTATAAAAGGTTCCCATTTGTTACTAAAGATTATATTTCTTTTAACTACCTTAGATAATAAATATTACTTAAAATCAATTTATTAATAAAACTGTACCTCTTTCAGGGAAGATACACAAGATAACAATGCAATTACCATGAACAGCAAACTAAAACTGCATGTACCCTGCAATATTTACAATTGATCCAATATTATATTATAATTAATTTTCTGGAACAAAGCAATGCAGGTRTGACCAACTGAATCAAATGCAAATAAGCTTAAATCAATAATATATTAATGATTGTACATCAGTTGGATAACGAAGCTAGTAATACACAAATATAGCTCTTTTTGTGACTTCGCCCTCGCATAAAAAAGATCGTGTTTTTTAGAGACGTATAGACAATTAATGGCTTAGCTTTAATAACAATAAAATATAAGTTACTGTAGTATTGTACGTATTCCCCGAGGTGTAATTGTCTGCAGTTCACATTTTCAGGTAGTTAGRGTATTAAATCTCAATCGACACCAGCTAAACAAAATACCGACAAGGTGTTCGACATTAAAAAGTTRATTTGCACAACAACTTCAACAGCTCTCGAGATGTCAGAAAATTCGCTAGATTCGAATTCGATCGTGATCTATGAACAATAACATGACAAGGCAAAATACAACTCCCAAATCTGGAGCATTCGACATTCTAAAGTTGCCGTGGCTTCAGTGTAAAGTTTGCCTTATGATCTGAGCGGAATAATACAACAACTACAAGTAA